GCCGCCGCCGTCGTCGTCGTCTTCGCACCGCCGCGGTTGTTGAGACCGGAGTTGCTACCATTATTGCTGAGTGTTCGAGGGGCACGAGAACTGGGGCCTGGTTGGTCATCATCGTCATCCTCGTCTTCATCAAGAGTGACGATAGGCCAAGAAACACAGGGAAGACTCTTTGACGGGTCGGCCGATTTGTTGATGTTCAAACCGCCCGATGCACTCGGCACAAACTCGTCGTCGTCACGGGCCGCTATATAAATGTATTCTCCGTCTTTACCAATCTGCAACTCAAAATTCGGTCAAAATTGTTCAACCACAAAATGTGTGTTATTATCACCTTTCTACCATATGTAAATTTTGTCAATTCGAAACTATCGAATTGTTCCGTTAATTTTTTCTGATCCTCTTCACTAATTTTGTTCGATTTTTGAGACGAATTCACAATTTTCTCACATGCGGATTGCAACTCGTACAAATCCTAAAGAATTGTAATTATGATAAGTTAATATTTCCATAACTCATTAGATTACCGAGGTGTTGATGCCCAAATACGAGCGATAACGTAAAATCGGCAAATTATCGATCACTGGTAAGAAGAGGACGGCCGATCGAATGAATACGACACGTTTTTTTGACCATAACGCCTAAAATTTACTGTGAATATTTAGTGGCGGAATTTAAAAAAAAATTAAGCCTCAATAACAACAAAATAGTAATAATAATAATAATAATAATAGATATGAAAACAACTAACCGCAAGGAAAAAATTTCCGCATTTGTGGAAAACCCCAAACCAAAGAGGATGGAAGTCCTCACCGTCGACCTGCACCGGGTATCCGGGGTGATCATCGCGATTGACGTAGAACGAGAAATAGTTGATGCCGTGTTCTACGTAATGCGGTCGATAACGGGTCATGCACATGTGAATAACCTAAAAAATTTTCAACAAAAAAATTGCCAAAGCTTCCGGCTAATCCTAAGTCTCAACACATCAAAAGGCTTAGGTAAAATTTGTTTTAGAGGAGTGTTCGTTCGAAAAAGAAAAAATTAAAAATTAAAATAAAACTCACTTTGGTTTCGTTCTTGGGGTACTTCATCTGGAACTCTTTTTGGGAACCAACTACTTCTTCGTTTCCCAAATGACAACCGAGAAGGTAATCGGCGTCTTCAAATCCTTCGACCAATGATGTCACACCTAAATCCAAACTTATTATTTTTATTATTATTATTGGTCGAATTTTAATTTGATAATATCTCTTTTTACCGTCCATTTGATGCTTGTTGGAAGCGACATAGACCGATGTGGGCGCCATTGGATAATCGCGTCCAGTGACCAGAGAAATCATTTCACAAAATCCTTGATCGTCGAGGTGTGTTCAGAACCTAAGCCTTGTAATTAAACAATAAGATATAATAATGGTGGCAAAAAAATAGATAGATAACCATGTTGAAAAACATGTGTTAAAAATAATAATTATAAATAATAAATTAAATAATAATTATATATATTTTTTATATATTAAACAAAAAATAATAAAATCAAATATCTCAAAATTGAAAAAAATTATATGTATTTAACACCGGTGGGGAGGGGTTTAATTATAATAGTAATAATAATAATAAAAATGGTGGTGATTATGATGATAATGGTAAATAATATTTAAATGATAAAAAATCAAAATATTAATGGGTGTTGCAAGAAGAACACAAAATGATTAGATAAATTTCAATTGAAATTTATTTCGGCACGAGGATTCCATGTGTTCCTTCCTTGCGTGCGCTCTCATTGTCTTCAGCACCAACGGATGATTGCTTTGACGACAAGGGCACAAATAAAGAAGGGAGTTCTTCTTCTTCTCGTGTTCATTCTGGTAATGAAGAAGCCATCGATTTTCGCCATCTTTCTTAAACTCCATTCTACAACTTGAAATGGGGCACAAGATAGGCTCGAATCGGTTCCATTGCTGAACAAGGGCATGCCTGAAAAAAATTTAATTTTAGTAGCATTAAAATTAAATAAAATTGCAACAACAACAACAACAACAACAACAACAACAACAACAACAACAACAACAACAACAACAACAACAATGAAAAGAAATTAGTAAAGACTTACTCTAAAATGTCCTTAAACGGTACGTCGTTTGCCAATGATGCCGCATTCAACTGCTGAACACATCGTACCATGTTGAGCACATCGTTGTCGTCGTTGTTGTTGTTCCAGTGTTTATCCTCGCTCTTCCCAACAATGTCGTCGCTCTCGGCGGGGCGAGGCGTGCCGCTCTTCTTCGAATCGAGGAACGCCATTGTGTTGGTTAAGTCTCGGAGTCTTTTCAGACAGCGGACGTTCGGCTTCTCGTCGGCGAGCTTAAAAAAAAAACAAAACAAAATTGTATAATACAGAAATAGAAGTTATTAATTGTTGTGCGTGTTTTAATAAACGCTTACATACCTTACACTCGTTTCGAATTTCGCCCGTCGTTTTGAATTCATAGTTTGAGTTCAACACGATGTTGCTCGCGCTGTTGCGAAGAGAAGCCGCCAACCAATCATTGGCGGTGAAGCCAATGACGGACGACGGCTGCTCTTGCACGCTTGAAACGAGCCCACTGAAAAAAAATTATCTCTCATTAAAAGCAAACACTGACTGTATATTGTTGGAATGGGTTTTTTGGACGAAAATGTTATACATATCGAGTTTTTTAATGCCTTACTTAATGTAATTTCGCGCCTGCCCAGAGCGCCAATTTGGGCAGGACGTGAGCGCTTCGTGGACCATTCGCGTATCCATGATTGCTTGCGCCTCTTGTGACACGGCGACATTATTCACGAGGCTTGTCGCATAGCCTTGCCTTAATAATAACACAAAAATAATTGATTGAACAGTGAAGTAGTTTGCGATAAGTAACCATACCTTAGGCTTTTCATCGTGAATAACGAGTTGGGCAATTTAAATTTGTCCAACGCATATTTCATTAACCCGTTCAAATTTGTGGCTTTTTCGCGTGTGAGCTCGCCGCTGTTTCCGGGCTTCGGCCGGAGCCAGATTGGCATTTCCCTAAAAAAAAACCCAAAATACGAAATACGTTCCAAAGTCTAAATAAGTAAGACCCCAAAAATGGATGGGAAAAAATAAACCTATTAACAAAATTATTGTGAAATTTCTTCTCACCTGTTTTTTTCCCATGAGACACGGCGTTCTGTCGTGCACTTCCACTCGAGAAGTGAGGTGACGTCGATGTGGCCGCCGAGGATGAGCTGAAAAACCCATCCTGCGGCGCCCGTTAGCCCCCAATTTTCCGTGCCGTCGGCCTTCACTACCGGGTGGGATAATCCTAAAGAAATGTGAGTGCTCAAAATGATAAAAACCATTGAATGAAAATGAACATACCCATGAATGTCGGCTCAAAATTTTCGTCGGTGCGTGTTTTGTCATGTACGAGCCCCACCAACACGCGAAATCTGAAGTGGTGAGGCTCGTCGAACGGTGCGTTCGGAACACGGTAGACGATTACGTCTTTTGGAAGAAGTCCCTCGAAATTGGAATACGAATTTTCTAAAAACACGAAAAAAAATTAATCATCAAATAATGTGATCTATAGGTGAAGCCTACCACTCATCGATCCGGGTCGCAGTCCGAGGGATCCGACTGCGACCAGGAGGAGAATCGACTGCAGCTCCGCTTCGTTCAAATCACTCGTCAGCCTCTTAACAAGCGTCTCCACACAATCGAGTGGGAGAGCCTCTTTTTTCAAAGTGATTTTTCCCGAAAGAGACTTCTGAGTGACCTTCTCGATAAGCCCAATATCACGCCATAATTGAACGTTCTCTCGTCCGGGAGCGGCGCGATCCGCGTTTTCAATATATCCCAAGCACTTCCATGCGGTGAGGAGAGCTTGAGAATACCGGCGCATTGTGAGGGTCTCTTTTTTTTGGGTCCTGGCAGTGTCGCCATTGGTGGCAAACAATTTGAAGACGCTCACACGATGCGTCGGTGTTTCGGACCAGAAAATGTACCATCTCAAAATTTTAACAATTATGTTTTTTTCTATCGTTACTCAAATTCTAACCCGGTTAAAGAGTTTCTCAGCGTTTCAATATCTCGGACCTTGAGAATATTGTGCATTTCGTCGAATGACGTGACTCGCGGGGGTCCGACGGTTTTGCAAAAATTGTAAAATGAAGCCAGCGCGTACCCAGCATAGCGAATCGACTCTATAGAGAG